GATGTGGGGTCTCACAACTGTCTTCGCACTCTGGGGTCTGAGGTAGAGAGACTGTAGACTTGAGTCTGGCCTGGGCAACTGAGCAACTTATCAAGACCCTGTCTCCAAATAAAAGCTAGAAAAAGGCGGAGGATGTAGGTCAGTGCGAAGGCCCTGTGCGGTTCAGTCCCCAGTGCTGCAACAAACAAGCAAGCAAGCAAACACCCTGAAAACCTCCCGGGAGACTGAGGTCTGAAATATTCAAGAGGATTGAACTGAAGTCCGGACGGGTAAGTTGAAAAGGAAACCCATTCATTCGTTCATTGTAGGCGACTCTATTCATTTACTTAGTGCTGGGGATGGAATCCAGGGCCTCAAGCACGCTAAGCATCCGCTCTGCCACTGAGTTACGACCCTCAACTTGTCTCCGTTTTGTTTTGTTGAGACGGGGTGTCGCTACGCAGTTCTGGCTGGCCTTGAACTCACTTTGTAGCCCAGGGCGGCCTTGAACTCTCAGTAAATCTCCTGCCTGCAGGGATTCCCCAAAGCGCAGTGATATTTGAAGGTCACACCACGCCCCGTGCTGACGCTTGGCCGCCTGGCTATCTCGTTCCAGAACAAGGCTCCAGCGCTCCTGACCACCACGGCCACAGCCCAGTGACGTCAGGAAAGGAGGTGCTCTGTCAAGACCCTCCTGCCCTAGGTGGGACCTGGTTTCAGTGAAGAACTTACTTTACTTGAGTTTCTTTCCTGTGGCTGGGTGTGATGGCACCCGGGGAGGCTGAGGCAGGAGGGTCCCTGTCAGTTTTAGGCCAGCCTGGGCTATATAGTGAATTCAAGACCAGCCCGAACTGCATAGTGAGACCCTATCTCAAAGAAAATAATTCATTCCTAAGTTCCCTATGTAATTAATTTAAAGTTCCCAAGAAAATACCGACCTTCTACAAAGGACAGGAAGACATTTCACAATTCCAAGTTACTTCTAAGTAACAGTGTCACTGAGCACCACAATTACCCCAGGTCCCTAGGCCCCAGAAATCACTTTTGCACAAATAAAAAGGCATCCAAACTCTCACTACCTTCTCTCTCTCTTTTTTTTTTTTTTTTTTTTTGGTCTTTTTGAGACAAGGTTTCCCCATGCAGTTTAGCCTGGCCTTCAGCTCAGGCTGGTCTCAAACTCGCAACAATCCTCCAGCCTCAGCTTCCTGAGTGCTGGGATTGCAGGCGTGCGCCACCACACCCAGCTACCTTCTTGCCTGAATGTGTCATAATACTATCCACCTGACAGCAAATTCCTAGACTTCCCCATGGCCACAAAGAACGGAGGAATGGCGAGGGGCTGGGTCCTTGTTGCAATGGGACCTGGTTTCCCAGCAGCCGTGTCACCCGCACGACCGGCACGACCCCCTTGGTGCTTTAGACCCTCTCCAGGTTGCTAATAGTATCTACTAGAGGGCAAACGCTCTGCAAATAGCTGTTAAATTACGTTGCTAAGGGATTGTGACAAGATAAAAGTGCGAACATGTCCAGTACCAATGCAGAATTTTTACTGAATCTTTTCCGTTAGCTGCTGGCTGAATCCATACACGTGGACCCGCAGACACGGGCTGCTGAGTGCAAACCCTTCAAGAAGGTACAAGTGAGTGTTTTCAAAACAAACGACCCAGGAGGACAGGCATGGGAGAGGCAGGAGGGAGGTAAGTCTGTCTGGAGCTTGAAAGGTCTGACAGCTTTCAGCAGGGCTCCCTAATCAAACAAGACACCACAAGGAAAGGTTTGCAATTCTCTAGGAAGCGAAACAGGGTGAATGTGGTAGGAAATCCACCTGCCTGACCCCACCATGCTCCGGGTCACCCCTCTGCAGCCCGAAGAATAAGTCCTGGTTGCCAGAGCTTAGCAGATCCCTCTTGAGACTGAAGATCTCTCTCTCTC